ACTCTGCCGGCTTGACTACCCAAGGCTGACTCCTCACGAGAAAGCCATGCTCTCGGCCATCCAGGATGGCTCTTTTCGAAGCCGAGTCCAACACGCTCATTACGACACAGCCAAAACTCCTGACTGTGTCATTTGTCACGTGCCCGACACTTACGAGCATCAGTGTCGACAATGCCCGGCTCATCAGCTTGCCCGGTCACACGCCTCAGAGGTCACTCGCCTTTGGGACTCTCTCCCAGCCTGCTTCACCAATCACCTGCTTGTCCCAAGGAATCCCTGGTACCATGCTTACCGAGAATTGCTTAACAAGATGCCCGATCATGCAGGCCGCTTTGAAGGACTTCGCCCAGTTGAGGGACAGCTTCAACACCTTTTTACTGACGGATCTTGCATTACATATTGCGAAGGTTTTACAGTAGCAGCCTGGGCCGTCGTATCGGCGACGTCGTCGGATTGTGTTTCTTCGGGACCCCTTGTTGGTTTCCCCCAGACTATCAACCGAGCCGAACTGTCGGCTTTCTGCTCCGCGTGTCAGTGGGTGAGATTTTTTCGGCAGCCGACCATTATCTGGACAGATAGCAACTATGTATGTCAGGGTTACCAGGACATTCTGGCCGGTAATCTTGACCTGCATGGGCGAGACAACCACGATCTTTGGACAAGAGCGAGCAATCTTGTTTCAGCATGCGAGCAGCTGTTGGTGAACGTCCGACATGTCCACTCGCACGTGCTTTTACATAAGTGTGAGGACCCTTTTGAGGAATGGGCTGCCACCTGGAATGCAAAAGCAGACACAGCCGCAGGCGTCGCTAACCTGAACCGATCTTTGCAGTTTACAGAGGTTCTTGCCGCCGCAAAACTTCATGTGAGCAAGTACGCCAGGTTAAGCCGTGAACTGCGGGCCTTGTACTTCAGCATCGCCCAGACCAACTTCCAAGCACCTCATCCGGACGAGGATGAACTTGAAATCATCCCCGGTGGGGATGTACAGCAAAGAGCAAGAGATGACATCATCGCCGACTATATCCCCGCCGATTGGGAGCTGCACATCGGGCGGGTTCCCCTCGGCGGGATTCCTGCATGTTTCTTTAAATCCGCGCTGGAATGGCTATTGAGCCATGATGCAGACACAGACGCTGCACGTGCCATCAGTTGGCTTGAGCTCACAATAGCTTTGCACAGAAGCGGTATTTCTTTTCCAGTCCCTGGCAATGGCAAGGACAGCTGGGTTCCTCTTTCGGCCAAGCCCTGCTCGTTCGGTCTCACGACAGTTGCCAGCCAGGTCAAGCTGGTGAAGCGCCTGTACACGATTGCTTTCAACTACTTTCGTGTGCCAGGGATTTATGTTGAGCACATCAACATTTTGAGTTGTGGAGTCCACCCTCCCCAACAGGGCATTTGGGTTGGAGCTTCAGCGGACTTTGTACAGTCCACAAGATCCGCACTTTGCGATTGGACCAATCGCCGGCCGGTTCGCACTGCCGCGGACCTCGCCAGGCCCTTCAGGTGAGGCGCCTTGAAATCGGGCTGCTGCACCGCTGCTTAGCCGTGCACAGACTCGACCGCCAAGTCGCGATATGGACCCAAGACTCCCCGGAAGCTTCTATGTTTCAATCGTGGCAAAGGCAAAGACTTGACATGTTGCAGTAGATTGTTGCCTGGCTTGTAGTCTGTGCTCGCGCTCTCACCAACAAACTGAAAATCTGAAAAAGGCTCCCTTTGCACCATTTCGCGTACTCCCTCGATCCACTCCTCCACTGCCAACCCTCGCTACAACTAACTCCCTAATCTGACAGAACATGAGTTTCGTCTTCCGGTGGGTTTTTACCCAGGATGCCTTCTCTGATTCCCAGCCCAGCCCAGGCATCGCGATGCGACGGCTTGGGTACCAGCGGCAGCATCGACAAATTAAAGGAGCCCACCTCAGCGCATTGGAAGGCGAGACTCACATTGAACCCAACCGTGGCTTTCTTGGAACTCGCTTTGCAGCCCCACCTCGGGGGAGCCCTTCCAGGGCGAGCAGCCAGCTCCAAACATCGAGTGCAGTGGTGTAGCTAAACTGCAACCAGCAGCCCCCTTAGCATTTCGACGCTCACAACTCGATTCAATTGTGACTCATGGAAGGCGCTTGCCCGAACAAGCTCCAAAAAAAGCAAAACACCAACCAATACCGAGCCTGTCCCTCCACTTTTTGCCACATGTATCCTGAATTATTCACCTCCGTTCGCCATCCAATACATCCTAATTCCACCGCTTTGGCAAACCAACGCCGAACCCCCCCCCCCCCACAGCCCGGAGTCTTCGTAGGCCTCGGGCTCTCAAGGTGCGACTCTTCACCGACTCCTCGGTGCTCGTGTCCGAGAAGAGCAGGGCCTCGGCCGGCTCGGGGCTTGGGAGTCGCAGGCCGTAGGCCCCGGGCCGCAGGCCCGGCAGAGGGTTGCTTTGAGTTGTGCGCGTGTGCGTGGGTCCAGGCCAGAAATATCGTTCCCGAATTTGAGCCACTGGCTTATATAAGGATTCCAGCATGGCAAGACACCAACGCAGGAATTGTTTGGCCGGGTTCAGGTGACGATTGGAATCTACCCCAACAGAAGTGAAAGGGGGGTCGCCGCCTCTTGTTGCTGCTGCTGCTCAGAAAGGTCCTCTGCTCACCTCTGATGACCCATAATAGGCCCACAGCAAAGGCTTTGGGTTCACTTGCCCATGGTACACTAATGCAACATCCTCAATTTGTCGCTCCAAATGGCAATTTACGGGGACTCCTCCAAAAGTCATTTGCGAGTCCCTGCAAATGCTGGCTTTAAGGCAGCCAGTTGCCTCTCTTCCCTCCCAAGTGGAGGCAAGCAAACCGCGGCCCTCCCTCCTAGGAGGCCGGCGGAAGATAGCCGTGCCCGCAAGGCGCCAGGGGGAAGCTGTACAGTGATGCTGGCGTCTTGTAAGCAAACCTGCGCCGACCCATCCACCCCCCCCTGTCTGAAAGCCCAACAGCAGGGCGAACGGATAATGCAGGCACAGGCGTGGCTAGTTTCTTTCCCATCTTGACGTGCAAACATGTTGTCAGAAGTGGTGTGGTGAAGCTTTCATTCAAGCACCCGTGTGAGAGAGGATTCCCATGTTGAAGCATTTCCAATGCCATCAGTCACAGAAGCAGAAATGACAGTTTTGCTGCACCCATGGACTTCATCGCAAGCAAATAATCCTGGCCAAAAGGAAACAGGAGAAAGGCAATAGCAGTCACAACATGAGTGCGCTCCGTCAACGCCAAATACAGCGTCCGTGCACCACACGACATTATGCATCATGCAAAAGAGCAGAAGCTCAAGCGAAACTTGTAGGAAACGACCAGGCACATGCCCATTTCTGCATTGTCGAACTTTGCGGAACGCTCGCGCAGTGCGGAGCATCACCTTCGAGGGAATCTAGCCCTTTGCACTAGCACCTTCACGCAGCACGGGCCTCTTTGCCAAGCAACAACTGAATTGTGGCAGCTCCCTTTGGAAATCACAAAAGTTCACAAAAGGATCACAAGAGCGCATGTGACAAAAATATAGCAAAGCTCACGCTTTGCTTACTGCAAAGAATTCAGCCACTCAACTGTAATAGGCAGGGCGGACTCAAGTTCAACATGAGTGCAAAAAATGCAAGTGCTACCTTGCACGGCGCACACCTTGCACGGCGCACAAAGAAAGCAAAGGGTCGTCAACCTTGTCGGTGTGTTTTCGGTACTCATCGGGAACGAAAAGAACTGACACACACACACCTCATTTGACAAAGCCTTCCCGCACTTCACAGCTACAAAGGTATTTTTGTCAAAGGAAGATATTATCAGTTCAACTTGTTTCGCTGGTCCGGGCAATGCACACTTGGCAATGGAAGGCTGTCCAAGCCACCGATCTAAAACCAGCAGCCTCTGCCGATAAGCATGCCATCCACCCTGCCTGCATTCGCGACAGCACCCGCTTCACCTGAGGCATGGCTCGGAACATCTGGCCACTAGCCAGCAATATTGACTGACCACATAGCTTAGCTGAAAGAAGAAACAAGTCTAATGTCCTGGCAGGAAAGACAGAATCTGCAAATACACGGGCATGCCTTGAGATAGGGAACCATACACTGGGGTTTTCATCTAGTCTCCGAACCGCTTTCCCTATTGACCTGAAATCGGGGCAAGGACCAACCCTGCCCGCACTGGCTGCCGATAGTATTCAGTAGGAGGCCTTGCCTCACCAAATGCTCCCCCAACATGTCTTCAACATGAAAGACATGACAGGTAGTACCATGGCAAAATCTCATCTGGATCGCTGCTTCACAACTATAGCGATGTAAACGCATCACTGCCATGTCGCAAGGCAAAGGTCAACAAAGCACAAGCAACTTGGTAGTGCATGCCTGTGTAGGTAGATAGCCTTCCGGGACCCTACCTTGTTGAAAGCGTAGCATGAGAATAGCTGACAAACTTCAAATCTGGGCTGGCTTTGTGCGACGTGTGTTCATTTACTCAGCCAAAAAGAAAACAACTCGCCAAATCTGAGGCTCTGCTTGAGGGCAGGGCTAATCTGGACAGCGTCTCGATGCCATCGTCAGAGTACCTCAGGGAAACAATAGCAACACATGCGGGTGATCATGTATGACACCATTGCCGTATTAATGCGAGTAAGTGGGATCCATGCGGAGTGGAGTGCAGCACGGGCCCCTGCAAAACAGCAATGGTGTGCTCACATGCGGCGCGCCGCAACCCATGCGTGTTCGCAGTGCTGGTTTACATGTTGCCTTATGACCAAACACATCATGCCGAGTGTCAGCAGAACCGGGCTAGTCATAAATCGAATATTCAAATCAGACTCCTCAGGCAACAACTCACCAAGCAAAAACATCATCAAGGCATGAAGGCTCCTCGGTCAGGTCGTCTCGCCTTGTTTTTGAAACACCTTGCCAGCACGAGCGGATGTAAGTACTGCACCTTTTCACCCAAACGCAAAGGGGCCTTTTCCGACATCTTAGTCAGCCTGGCTCTCATCGGCAAGACTTGGTCTGCGCCCAAGTCGGATATGCTTAGACTGTGGACGCTTCCGCGACCAGACTCCAGCTGGTCCAAGGGTGCATGCGCCATCCAGGCATGCACAAACCCTTGCTCTTCAAGCCCGAGTGGAGCAAACTGAGCCTTTCCTCCTCAGGCAACCATGCTGCAAGCTGCTGTACGGCCGCCTCTGTATCGTGCGTCCACCCTGGTACAGCCCATCTGTGGCACCGACCAACGAGCTCACTATGATCGTCAAGGTCGACGGAAGTCTTGGAGCGGAGCTTCCCTGAGGGGGGGGGGGGGCAAGCAGGAAATACGCAAAGGACGTATGCGCTTTGCAATTGAATATGCACTATACCGTCTGCATGCATTCTGCTTCGCTATGGGTAGCAGAAGGTGAACATCACAAGCATCTGGCACGAACAAAGAATCACTCCACTGTGATCTTCGACATGCATTGGCTCTTTAAATGATGTCTGATTGTCGTTCCAGCGCGTTGGCAGCTACCTCCCTTTGAAAGAAGCTGGGGCCCATCTTATTACATAGCTTCCCCCATTGCTTTACCATTGTCAGTTGATAGGTTTACGGACGAGGATTTCGTCGCGCCTTTGCTGCTCAAGCAGGCTGAATGTTCTTCTGCCGGATCTGCCGCCCGCGCTCGTACAAGACCAGAGCCACCGCGTGGGAGACGTTCAGGGAGCCCTTACCCAACCTGAGGTCTCGATAATTCAGCCACAGGGGTCGTGTCTGAAGCCTCTAGCTCATGCGAAATGTCCGAGTGCCTTGGTAAGTTTTAAAAAAGTCGAAGTCGTTGAATAAAAAGGTCTAACAAGGGTTGCTCGAACAAATGTTGGAAAGGCTGAAGCTTGTAGCGCTCACGTGCAGCTGCACAAATAAAAAAGGCAAATCTGGTCCCAATTGGCAGCTACGAGTAACAGCCGCAATTTGCCATGTCTAAAGGCTAATACACCCAAAACAACGCTCTCCCAGAAAAACCAAAGGAATCCCCGCAACATCAGACAATGTGCTATTTAGTCCTTACTCATTGACAATTTAGTTGTCTCCGGGGCGTGGAGTCTGTGTACAGGTCCCGTCCGTGGACTCTTGCTCAGTGGTTTGGTCTGCTGACCCGCATTTGAAGGCAGGTGATTTGGCAAAAAGGCAGCGCAGCAACATGCTGGGGATGCTTGCGGTGCTGCAGTGCACACCCAATGCAGGCAGATGCTGGGAGCAAACATTTGACCTCCTTTGGAGCCTTTCTCACATCAGGCCTGCGAGCACTTCTACATGCACCCTGCATCTGTCACAAGGTTAGATGTAGCTAATGTAGAAAGATAGAAAAGAAGCACTCTGAGTACATGCTTAAACACTGTCCAAACTGCTTGCCAAAGGCACGTGGGGATGGAGACAAAGTCATCGCACGCCTTCATTAGTTCTAGTGGTACCCCTGTGTCCTCAGGCTGCACTGCTTGGGAAAAACAAAGGCCTCCCTCAGGAAAGGCTCTTAATCTTCTTGAACAACATTTCTCTGGAGTAGGGAGGTGCTAGAGTCTCTTTGTCCAGTCTCATTGTTTTGGTCGCTGTGAAAGCCCTAGGGCACGTCTCCCTGCTGCGTCATCCCCACGCGCTTGCGCTCTGGTTTGAAGCTGCTTTGCACGGAGGCTCGTCTCTTGAGGATTCCAGGGATATGTTCACGTGCCTGTCCTTCACGCATATAAAAAAAACAAAGCACCTGCACCACGTATACATCGAGGGGTCACAAATTTATGCTCGAGGGTATTGGTGTCGACTTGTCGTTTGTCTTCAGGGCATAGCTTCTGCAAGTGTGCCCGCGGACGGGGTTGAACAAAGTTGTGCCAAACCACCTGCGTGCACACGCAATCTGTGACTCCCATATTGGAAGGTTCTAGTAACAAGGCCAGAAAATATACCCGCCTATAGTGGCAAGGGTGATGCTAGCCATTTTATCAGATGTCGCACAGGGTTGCTCCAAAGACACAACAACAACAATTCTACAAAAGGTGGGCTTCGTCATCTTAAGGTCCGGGGCAACCCTGAAGGGGTCCCAACTTTACATGGGCACGTGTCAAACCACGGTCGGTTCTCCTTCCTTCTGCTTTCTCTTTGAACAAGCCTGAAAAGGGTACAGTACCCTGACCCCCGAACATGGCGGGGGTTTGTACGGTTGCTCTTTTGGTTTCCATTTTGAAACGCGTCCACAGCTCCGACCATGTCCTCGGCTCCAAACAGGAAGGCTGCCTTCTCTCGGGCCAGGTCCGCAGAATCCAGCGCTGCAGGTGGCGAGGAGAGGCCTGCGGTGTCCTGAAGGCTTGTGGAAATGGATGCCTTCCTTTAATTTCCTTTGCTCCATTTGGCAATCAAATGGAAAAATGGGCCTTAAGAACAATTTGGTTCGGTGACCTCTGCAACCATCGAAAACATGTTTTTAAACGCACATCATCAGAGCATGTGCTTGCTTGCAGTGAGAAAAATGAACATCAGCAAACCCCCAGGTGCGCAAACCCGAAACTGCATCGAACCGCCCCGAAATCCCCGCCGTCTCCACGCAAACATTGGAGCAGCCAAAGGCCCGGCAGGCGTCGAGGACCTTCTGCGCCTCGGCTTTGGGGTGCGCGCAGAGGTGAAGCCGCCACCCGTGGCGTGCGGCCATGGAGATGCGGAGGGCCTCCTGAACGGCGGTGCTCAAGTTGGGGGACTGGGGGAGGGGCTTCTCAAAATGGGTTTGGGCGGATTGGGACGCTGGGTGGGCTTAGCTTGGATGTGGCCATTGGCTCAAACAATTCCGCATCCAAACCAGAAACCCTGGGAAGATTGATGAGATTGGTGGTTGGAATTCCATTTGGCTGTCTCTTTGAGTTGGCTGTTGGGGACTCCCAATGCTGCTTGTTGAGAGCCCATCCCTCTCAAGGCCCATTCCGAACTCGCAGGGCTTGCGCAACAAGCCAATACTACCATGTCCATGTTGTCACGTGCCCTCAACCCCTCACGGGCTTTAAGCGGAATGTTGTTTCGAAACCTACCGTGGGCCAAACCAAACGTGGCGCCTGACCTTGATCATGGCTCCCGAGATGGGGCCAGAAAAGCATCCGATCATCCTCACGTGTGAGGGACAAAAACAAGTCTGTGGCCTTGCCCTATGCCAATGTAGTAGGATGCCGCTTGTTGATGGAGGCCGTGCTCCTCTCAACCATGACATGGTAGCCCATTGCCAGGACTCATGTCCTCCTCAGGCAGCAACCGTTCCAACAATCTCAGCTTAAGCCATGCAACAACACATGAACATGGTTCCATCAGTCACGATCTTAGGCAGTCCTGAAGTGGTGCCAGGTCCTGGTCAGCCTGCGCGAGAGGCAAGGAAGCTGACAAGATCTGGGTCGCCAGAGTTGTAAGGATAAGTCTGCATGCCAGGGATCAGCATAGTACAAATTGACACGCAATTTCCCAGATACGAGTGGTCGGAGCGGGTTCAGAGCCTAGAGCAATGCAGCCTACGGGGTGAATGGCAGCAGCAGCCATTCTATGCTTGTCCGAAACGGTCTCTACCTATGAGTAGAGCGCACGAACGTGCTGTATGCAGGTCAGGAGTCATATTAAAGGATGAATCTCCAGGAGGCTGGCTAAGTTGACATCTCAAGAGTTTGGCCCCAGCAGTCAGCTCGTGGCTTCCGCCATGGTGCCTGGATAGTTCAAAGCGCAGTGTGTATCTGGTAGTTAGGAAGCTAAGCAACGAGCCTTGAGACGGGCTTCACGAATCCTGCCAAGTCTGGTTAAGTGCCGCCCGCCGCCCCACCTTCTCAGCGACACCTCCAATGAAGATCACGGCCTGCGCATGAATGAGATCCTATGAGTTTGCATAAGCGCACGGTCAACCGACAATCTTACAATCTGCCTCCAATCATGATCTCACCAAGTCGGGTCAAACCATCAGTGACTCTTTATCTCTTCCTTTCACTGCTTTGAACCTCATTCCAATTTGGCAATATGCTTTCCGAAGCAACTGAAGCTGTCTCATGCTTTGGGTTGACAGCCAATACGATTTTCAACTACAAGAGCTGGTCGATCCTGCCTGCGCCCCAAGCAAGTGCGCCGCGCGGAGGGAGGCACCCGCATTGGGCGCAAAGCGCAGGCCGTGCAGCAGCACTACCTTGCCACAGTAGCTTGATGTCGAGCGCTGTCAGTGAGCAGCTCCCAAGACAGCTGCTGGCACTGGTGTGAGGGGTGAACTGTCTGCGCCTTTTTGCACCCGGTGGCTTGCCCACATGACCAGGCCCAGGTCGGATACTGTGCAAGCCGGCAGGCAGGGCCGGCAGGCAAACAGGCAGGCGAGCGAGCTCCCCAAAAAGCAGGTGAGCAAGCAAGAAAGCCAAAACGCAACCAAGCCGCCACAAAAGCAAGGTAATCCTGTTTTGTGGCTTCAGACCAAAGTGCGAACAACTGCACAAGCCAAAGCAAGCCTACATAAATCTAAGCAGAAATGCCATCTGCTATCAGCTGCCATCATGACAACCAGCAACAACCGAGCCTCACAAGCCCTCGCCCTCCTGCCCCTTCACGGTTCGCCACGGCGCGGTATTCGGCGCCTCTCTCTCCAGCAGCGCCTCTGCGCTCCGAAAGAGGCGCGCAGGGCCCAGTGCCCGCGCCATGGCACCGCCACACCGCCGGGCGAGACGCGGGGAGGGCCGGGTCTGGCTGCGAAGGCATGCACAGCGCCTGGAGTGTGGCTGTAAATGCGCCTCCCCTTACCGCCTCTGGAGACTCAGGTGGCAGAACCTGTGGTCATGTTAAATACGAGCCATCTGCTGAGGGACAAACACTATTCATGCTTCGCCACCGGGTCTTGAAGGGGTCATTTCAAACTCAAAGTGGAACAGCCGGCAATGTAATTGACAACCAGCCAATGTGAGACACGATTTGCTGCATCAAAGGTACTTTGGCCCACAGTGACTTGCTGGGATGCTCAAGCATCAGCAATCTCAACTTCGTCAAGAAAGAGCTGCTAACTCATATAAGTTGGCTTCAGGCTGCGCAAAGCTAGGCCTTACAGACCAGTCGCCAAGAACCCATGAACTAAGGGACACCCAGTTCGGTTGATTGATAATTGAACCAAATAAAGAACACTTAGATCGAACTATCTTTGTCACTGGGCAAAGGTGCCTTGGTCATTCAATGCGTTCTTGCCGAGCCCTTCCGAGGCCCCGACCTGCTGGCCTCCTCTGGGGCCTGAGGACGAAAGCGATTGATTTCATTCCACTTGCCAGGTGGCTTCAATTGAACGGAGCACCGCTGAAAAGAAACTAGAAAACAAGTGGAGCTCGAATATGGCCCCAGCCCACGAGTCCTTTGCTGCTACTCACCAGTGTTGATTGCAATTGTTTCGGTTTGAAGGTCCCCACCAGTCAAGCAACAGCAACTCCAATCGAACCTGGCCAGCGCTACTTATGTTCCCGAAACATCCTGGAAAAAAAGTGGTGCCATCAACGCATTGAGCGTTCATCGGGCACTGCTGCGGAACCGCAGTCCCACTTGTGGGAAGGCACCCTGATAGATCATCCCTTCTTCCCCACGATGAGGCTCCTTAATCCAGAACTGCAAAAACATCTTTCCCCCAAATTGCAGAGGATCTTCCTCGCCGACATCTTTGTTTTACAGCGATGAATGAACCCCCAGTGCCCATCTGATACCAAGCCCATGCTGAGCCAACTCCAAATCAATGTGAAAATCATATGCGATCACCACCACCCGTCCACAAATGACAAACCCGCAAAAAAAAAGAGCTTGACTCCTGCTATTTAACTCCTTACTCAGGTTGCCGTCTTTGACAGACTTGCTGAAATGCGGGTCTGGAAACGCGATAGGAGCACGTTTGCCTGATGAGGACCGAAGCTGAACGAAGAGGACCGCAATTCCACAAGAGCAGCCCCCAAGCATGTGCACACAAAGTTGCTGTTTCCGATCACGAGAAAGGGCTGACAGAAAGTGGCAGGCATTTATGGGCACACCCAGGTTGTTTTTCACAACCACTCAAATGACTAACGAGAACCAACCGCTGCAATCTTTGGGGGAACCCCAACTGGGGTTTCTTCTTGTGGGGAACAAGCTGTGTTGCCTATTCCGTGTGGGAAGCAAAGCCGTGCCTCCGCGAAGAAGCCGCCTGGCAAGAGCACAGGAGACGGATCAAATGACCCGAACAAATCCTCAAAAACAGCTGAACAAAGAAATACAAGGGCCATACAACTGGACCACTGGTTTTGAACCAGCCCTGTGTCTGCTTGCCGTCCGCTCCACCAGTCCACACCCCGTGATTTCCACAATGCCAAGTGCATGTCTCAAGCTTCTGATGGGGGCAGATGGACACAAGTGCTGCTTCCTACAACGCTGCTTGGCGGCCGAGGTCAGGCTAGAACTGATGATGGCTAGCATAGGTTCACCTCAAAATGGCTATATACTTCCTGCGCACTGCCCAAGCTTCAGCTGAAAACCCTCACTCGCGGCTTCAATTCAGTGCTTTTCTACGGCTCCATTCCGCCCATTCAATGGGTCTTGACAGGCTCCCCCGCTTGGCCACAACCCCACGCATTTTGTTGTATCTCAGGCACTCCGCCCACCCTAGCCCTAGGCATACCACCCGGCAGGGAGAAAAAACACATATATACATATAATACAGGAACACATGTTTGTCAGTAGCATGGGGCACTTCATGCTGCGGGGCTGCCATCCGGAACAAGCTAACATGTGGAACCTGGCAGGGAGCCCATGCAAAAAGAACCACCTGGAAAGGTCACTTCCAACTAATGCGCCTGCAATCAGGAATCCCCTCAAATGAACCTCCCTCATGGGGTGACACACCAAATTTCTTTGGCCTCCGTGTTATCTCGATGCGGGCCTGGAGGCTTCAGCGGCTCCGGTGCCTGCGCAAGCTGCGGAAACGTTGGCGCATCCCTGTGCCAACGTGAGCCCAATGGGCAGAATGGCAGAACCCAAGCTGGGCTTCTCCACCCAAAAGGGGCCAGCATGGAATCTGAAGAATCTCATTAACCATTGAGAGGGCAGGTTCATGCCGGTTTCTCGGTTTACCAAGTATGGAGCCCTTCATTTGGGAAATGTGCTGGCGGGTTGCCAGCCCCACTGCATTGTCCCTACAAGGCATCCACGTTTTCACGCTCTCTGCAACAATCAACTATCGGCAAGACTCTTAATATTAAAGCGCCGCCATGCCCAAAAACTAACATGAAACCTGCATAACGCTCATTTGCAGAAGGGCTTTGTCGGGGAGCCGTTTTTGGGAGTCCAGTGCTTCGTTGCACAGAATGCTGCATGAATCGTCTCCTTTCTTCATCCCAGGCTTGCGTCGCGCTTGCACAAAGGCTACATCAAACCTCCATCGGCTGCGTCCACGCGCGGGAAGCATAAGCAAACGTGTGTGTGTGTGTGTGTCCCGAGCTCGGATTAACCCAATCTGTATAAATAACCATGGACCTGCCAGGCTGCAAATCGCACTTGGGTTCGAACATGCCTCTCAAACATGCATAGATATATGGATGAATGTCAAACCCACATGTTAGCAGCATGCGCCCCTCAAAGTATCCCCCATGCTAAATTGCAAACCAAGTTGCAACACCCCCAAGAGGCTGCCACGAGGGAACCGAACCGCGCCTGGTATTTCACATCCTGACCTCTTGTGAGTACCAGGTGCAAGCCACTGACGTACACCTGCGCAGTGGTTTCAGCAAAACGGGGGATTTCTCCAAGCACGGGACGAGCTGCACCATGACTCAAATGCAAGGGGGCCTGGGCCGCTTTCTGAACGCTGGAGCGTGTGGCAGATTGAAAGGCTGGAGCATATTGACATGTTGGAAGAAAAACAGGGTCACTCTCACGAGACTTGTTCAGCAAAAATAAACAACATGCCCACACGCGCGCAAACACTTAAGCTTGGGCATTACTCGAAACCCCTTCTCCTGACAAGGTCGCCATATCCAGAAACAAAACGCAAACAAGCAACAGTTCAAACAGTTGGTGGTGATATTACGCAGCATCAAACACTTGCTGCGCATTAATGCCCCGTGCCGAACAGAAGCGTGCAGCATCGCGACAAGTTCAACAGAAGGATCGCCGCAACATGGAGCAAAGCAAGCAAAGTGCAAATACACAAACAATACGCACACAAACGAGCACGCACGCACGCACGCACGCACGCACGCACGCACGCACGCAAGCAAACAAGCAAACAAGCAAACAAGCAAGCAAGCAAGCAAGCGCGCACTTGCTTGCTTGCAAGCAAGCAAGCAAACTCGCCGGTCGGCTCGCCAACTTGTGACGTGTTCTTCAGGTTCCCTAGCTAGGTCGCCTTGACCACCTCCGAAATTCAAGGATCTTTAAGGATTGGGCACCAACGCAAGCACATGGCCTTGCAGTGGTCGCTGACCAGCCGTCGCCATGGCACGTCCATCTTCACCTCAGTGAAACATTGGCGGAGCAACGCAAAAAAACAAGTTGGTGATGGACACCTCAGGGTACGCTGGGCGGGTTAGATATGGATAGGTGCATGTGGCTTGGTGTCAAATGTTGCCAGCAGGCTATGTCCACCTCTAAATCCCCTGTGGGCCCAACAAATCCAAGCGTTCATTCCAATATTGCAAGACTGTCATTTTCTGTGCGAAAGCTTCAGCCTCCCACGAACTGACGCTGCACATCCGACGAGTTCATGCAAATTGCTTCTATGGTTGAAGGAAACTAGATGCCATTCAGAGTCTCATCCCTGACTTGACACAAAGGGTTTGTGCCGTCGACGTGCACCCAGCTGCAACCAAAGGAATTCCTCACAAAGTAGGTCGCTGGGCAGGTGCATGCCCCCCATGGATGCGGGATAATTGGCTGATCTTCTTTTGGAAAGCCTCCCAAATGTGAACAACTCTAATACCACATACTTGGGATTGATAAGTGTCCAGTCAAACGTCCAAAGAACGTCAAAAGGTTGATTTGCTTGGGCTGTCACTTGCCCAAAATCGGTGGAACCGGCAAAATTGGTGTTGCACCTCGGCGTCCCGGAAAATCAATGCTGGGGAAATCCGCAAATACACAAGAAACGCGAGTCTCCTAGGTTTTAAAATGGAACATGCACGGGACGTTATGACCAAAATGCGCTCACTGTGGGCCATGCGAGTTTCCCCCGTTGAAAGAAGATCGGAGCCGAGGGGCACATGCCACCGCAGCCTCGCAGCGCAGGCCCGCAGGCAGCTGCAGTGGAGTGACCTTTGGTGCCAAACACATGAGGCCATCTTGTGCTCGGTCAGGGGAGCGCAATTGACGCCATCATGTTTGCTGCCACAATGAATTGGGGGGGAAGTCCTTTCACACACACACACACACATGTCAAGACTTGACATGTGTGTGTGTGTGAAAGGACTTCCCCCCCAATTCATTGTGGCAGCAAACATGGTGGCGTCAATTGCGCTCCCTAAGTGAGGATGTTCGCACAAGTCAACCTCACCAAAAACCGGCTCTGCGAAGCATGCTGCGCTGGTGTCTGCCAGCATTGAGAAGTAGGAAGCTATGTGCTTGCTGACGGCATCAAAAACGCGGGGAAAGAGTACATCCACGTGTCATGAGAGGTGACCTTTGTCATGGCACCAGGATTCGGTCGATCAGAACAGGACCCACTGCGAGCAGTCATGTGTTTCCCCCCCCCCC